TGAGGCTGGGTGGGGGTGTGCGGGGGGGTTTAAAAGGTGCATGGGAGCGTGAGGGCTGGGGGGAGAGGGGTGCGGAGCGCGTGCACGCCCACGCCGCGACGCCGAACGGTCCCGGGCTTGCAGTGTCGCCGCACCATCGGAAGCTGCGCGGCAGGGTGGCGAGCCTCGTGTGCCAGCTCTTTGCCGTGTACCGCACTCGTGTGGCCAGGATCAGTGACGAGGCACTACAGATAGTAAGATACCTGCGTGTCCTTGTTGATCAGGTGTAGATACAGGTGTGCTACGTGTGGAGCCATGGACCACGGTGCGCCGGTGACGCTGTGGTACCATGTGACATGGAAATAACTTCGTGCCAAGTATAGCAATATTTGCTCTGGCGGTGTTATGGTGCCAGCATAGGACTGTCTAGCATAGTGCGTGCGTCGTGTGCACACAGCCATACGATCGAGCATTACTACCTTTTTTGTTCTTCTTCTTGAAAATTAACTTTGTACCAAGTATAGCAATATCGGAATATATACTTTCTTTCCGATCAACATGGGCTCAACCCCGGCTCCATTTCATTGAAACACAAAACCCAACCAAACACGGTTCAACAGTCTAAACAAGAAAAATGAACAGACCTCTCATCTTCAAAAATCATGATAACGTCAAACTTCTCGCTGTCCCACTTCTGCGGATTCGTTAATCTCTAGCCCGCTCTGCACCACTTCCACCTCCACGAGGCTGTCGAGGATGGCATTGTGTGGAAGCCCAATTCCACGTCACCATTCGATACCCCATGGAGCACACGTACTGAAAGATGTGGGTGCCACCTAAGCTTAAATTCCTTGTTTGGCTTGCCATCCAAAATAGGAGTCGGACCTCCGATCGCTTGGCCATGCGTGGGTAGCCAAATTGTGACCCTTGTCGCTTATGTAAGCGGGTGCAATAGTCCGTTGACCACCTCTTCTTCAGATGTCGGTACACGACTATGCTCTGGGACATGATAAAGGATGGGCTACAGCTTGGGCGTCGCAACACCTCCACATGGCACCTCATGCGATCCGCTAAAGGTTGGTGGGTTAGCCTCTCCGACAGCAACAACCAAATCGCAAGGCGATGGCCACGCGCACCTTGCTCACTTCTTGGACCATTTGGAATGAAAGAAATGCTCATGTCTTTTGTCACAAGGGTGCCCTGCTGATGGTTCTTCTCCACAACATCAAAACAAATGTGGCGGCATGGGTTACCGTGGGTGCCAAGAAATCGGGGACAATCATGTCAGGAGACTAAATGACCATAAACCCTAAAGGCGGAATATTCTTTAAATGGGAGGCGATATTCCGCCTTTATGATGGGTGCCATCCATTAACTCGCCACACACTGCACCCGTCGGCGACCCATGAGACCATCGCCCATCAGATCCTTGCCACCCGCATTGCAGGCACCGCATAGCCTTGTCTGGCAATAGCCTCCGAAAATGGCAGGGAGAGAGAGAGAGAGAGAGAGAGAGAGAGAGAGAGAGAGAGAGAGAGAGAATAATGGCAACATTCGACTAGGGTTGCGGGAGCATGGAGGAGGGTGGTGGCAGCGGGCGGCTAGGGTTGTGAGAGGAGGGTGGCGTAGAGTGAGGCTAGGGTTGTGGGAGGAGGGTGTGGCGGCGACGCCGATCTCCAAGTAGTTTTAAATTCACAATATACATTTATAGCCAAAGACTACGAGGGCAAGTATTTCATATGCTTTATATAGTCTATTTAAAAAAAAACTTACCTTTTTGCCCACAAGAATGCACAACATGCACTCGGCAAAAGCATCTGAGAACAAATGAGTGGCCTGTTGTACAGTGCCAAGGAATAGCTCTTGCCTTGGAGAGGAGTTGTAGTTGGTACGACGCTGAGTGCCCTAGTAGGCTGGGTAATTTGTTCGTCAGCTCCAGCCTTGAGTAATTATGTGCTCACAATAGCTATATGTAAGTCGCCTGGCTTTTGAATTTGAGTCAGACGATCTTTGTATTGTAGGAAGAAACAACCGGAGGGGAGGAAGAAGCTCACCGACTCACCGGAGAAGCTCCACCATTATCTATCTTAAGGTGGTTGGGTCCCCCATTGTCTAGCTTAGGGGTGTTGGGGGGTCCAGGTTCGTGGGAGAAAATTCTTCATGGCCGGGGTAGAGGGATGGCCGGTAGGAGGTGGCAGCACAGCGGTTGGGAGGAGGGCGGGGTGGTGAGGCTGGCTCTGGAGCGCCGGCGGGCACGGGTGGTTGTGACAGGCGCTTTGACTGACGGTCTGGGGAAGGAGACGAGCTGAAGGTTGAAGATGAAAATTCGACCGTTCATTTTACATCTAACGGCTAAGAACAGATCGGCTAATCCAAATATAATTTTCAGTCACCATACTCCTAGCCGTTTCCCCTCTTTGCTTGTGTTGTTGGACCTTTCTTCCATGGAACCCAGCCAAACACGGTTCAACAGCCTGAACAACAAAAAGAAAAAAAACCTCTCATCTCCAAAATCATGATAACCTCTAACTTCTCACTCGCCCACTTCCACGGATTCGTTAATCTCTGGGCCGCTCTGTGCGACTTCCACCTCCGCGAGGACGCTGAGGATGGCATCGTGTGGATGCCCAATTCCAAGGCACCATTCGATACCCCATGGAGCACACGGTCTGGAAGGGGTGGGTACCACCTAAGCTTATATTCCTTGTTTGGCATGCCATCCCAAATAGGAGTCGGACCTCTGATCGTTTGGCAAAGCATGGGTAACCAAATTGTGACCCGTGTCGCTTATGTAAGCGGGTTCAATCATCCGTTGACCACCTCTTCTTCAGATGTCGGTACACGACTATGCTTGGGGACATGATAAAGGACTAGCTACAGCTTGGGCGTCGCAACACCTCCACCTGGCACCTCATGTGTTCCGCTAAAGGTTGGTGGGTTAGCCTCTCCGACAGCAACATCCAAATTGCAAGGCGATGGCCACGCGCACCTTGATCACTTCTTGGACCATTTGGAATGAAAGAAATGCTTGTGTCTTTTGTCACAAGGGTTCCCCACCGACGGTTCTTCTCCACAACATCAAAACAAACGTGGCGGCATGGGTTACCGTGGGCGCCAAGAAATCGGGGACAATCATGTCAGGAGACTATATGACCTTAAACCCTAAAGGCAGAATATTCTTTGAGTGGGAGGAGATGTTCCGCCTTTATGATGGGTGCCATCCACTGACTCGCCGCACACTGCACCCATCAATGATCCATGAGACCATCCCCAATCAGATCCCTACCACCCTCATTCTGCAGGCACCGCATGGCCTTGTCCGGCAGTGGCCTTCAAAAACAGCAAAGAGAGAGAGAGAGAGAGAGAGAGAGAGAGAGAGAGAGGGGATAACGACAACATTCAACTAGGGTTATGGGAGGAGGGTGGCGGCGGCGGGCGGCTAGGGTTGTAGGAGGAGGGTGGCGGCGGCGCACGACTATGGTTGCGGGAGGAGTGTGGTGGTAGAGGGCGGCTAGGGTTGTGGGAGGAGGGTGGCGGCGACGCCGACCTCTAGGTAGTTTTTAAATCCACAGTATACAATTATAGCCAAAGCCTGTGATTTCTGGATTGAAGGAAGAAACAACCGGAGGGGAGGAATAGGGGCGGAGCCAGCCCAGCGGGACGCCCCGGGCCCCAGGCTTGCTACAGTGCCGCTACAGTGTCAAACAGTGCCCAAGAAGCTACAATCAACAAAGGAATTCCTTCCCAGCCCCCCCCCCGACCTGGGTCCTGGATCCGCCACTGAGGAGGAAGACGCTCGTCGGCTCACCGGAGAAGCTCCACCATTATCTATCTTAAGGTGGTTGGGTCCCCCATTGTCTATCTTAGGGGTGTTGGGGAGGGGGTCCAGGTTTGCCAGAGAAAATTCTTCGTGGCCGGTGTTAGAGGGATGGCCGACAGGGGGCGGCAACACGGCGGTTGGTGGGAGGGCGGGGTGATGGGGCTGGCTCTAGAGCGCCGCCGACCGTGTATGGTTGTGGCAGGCGGTTCGACCGACGGTCTGGGGAAGGAGATGAGCTGGAGGTTGAAGATGAAAATCCAACCGTTCATTTTACATCTAATGGCTAAGAATAGATCGACTGGTCCAAATTTAATTTTCAATCACCATACTCCTGGCCATTTCCCTTGTTTACCTGTGCTGCTGGACCTTTCTTCCATGGAACCCAGCCAAACACGGTTGAATAGTCTTAACAGGAAAAAGAAACATACCTCTCATCTCCGAAATCATGATAACCTTAAACTTCTCACAGGCCCACTTTTGCAGATTCGTTAATCTCTTGGCCTCTCTACGCGACTTCCACCTCCACAAGGACGTCGAGGATGGCATCATTTGGAAGCCCAATTCCACGACACCATTCGATAACCCATAGAGCACACGGTCTGGAAGGGGTGGGTGCCACCTAAGCTTAAATTCCTTGTTTGGCTTGCCATCCAAAGTAGGAGTCGGACCTTCGATCGCTTGGCCAAACGTGGGTAGCCAAATTGTGATCCTTGTCGCTTATGTAAGTGGGTGCAATAGTCTGTTGACCACCTCTTCTTCATATGTCGGTACACGACTATGCTTGGGGACATGATAAAGGACTGGCTACAGCTTGGGCATCACGACACCTCCACCTGGCACCTCATGCGATCCGCTAAAGGTTGGTGTGTTAGCTTCTTCGACAACAACATCCAAATCGCAAGGGGGTGGCCACACGCATCTTTCTCACTTCTTGGACCATTTGGAATGAAAGAAATGCTCGTGTCT